ATGACCTGCCAACTTAAGAGCAATAAGTTCATATTTCATGGTGGAGCGAGGTAAACATGGTTGTTTTGAGGACTTCCATGAAATAGCACATTCACCCAAAACAAAAACATATCCACTAGTTGAGGAAATTTCATCATTATCGGTTACCCAATTTTCATCACAATATCCTTCTAAAACATTAGGAAAGCGATAAAAATGCAAACATTCATTCATAGTACCTTTAAGGTATCTTAGTAACCGACGAAGCGCAATCCAATGACTTTGACTTGGATTGTGAATATATCTACTAAGTCTACTTACAGCATAGGCAATGTCGGGTCGTGTGCAATTCATTAGAAACATCACACTACCAATTACCTTTGTATAGAGCTCTTGAGATACACTAGGACCCTTGTTTTTCTCAAGCTTCATGTTGGGGTCATATGGGGTTTTGCAAGGCACTGCATCAAAAGAATCAAACTTCTTGAGAATTTATTCAACATAGTGAGATTGGCTCATGCCAAAACCATTTCTTGTTTTCCTTAGACGAATTCCAATGATTACATCGGCTTTTCTCATGTCCTTCATTTCAAAATTGATAGAAAGAAAAGCCTTAGCATTATTCACCACATCAATGTTAGTACCAACAATAAGCATATCATCAACAAATAAAAAAATTATAACACATCATGATTCAAACTCCTTAGAGTACAAACAAAAATCCGAAGAATTAGCCACATAGCTACAACTCCTAAGGGTGCTATCAAACTTTTCAAACCATTGCTTAGGGGCTTGCTTAAGACCATAAAGGAACTTTCTAAGCCTACACACTTTATGTTCTTGCCCTTTCACCACAAACCCTTCCGGTTGAGTCATATAGATTTCTTCATCAAGGTCTTCATTAAGAAAGGCCGTTTTAACATCCATTTGGTGAACCACTAAGTCATGAATCGCCGCAAGGGCTACCAAGGTTCTAATGGTGGCTATCTTAGTCACGGGAGAATAGGTGTCAAAGAAATTTATACCTTCTTTTTGGGTGAAACCTCTAATGACAAGTCTAGCCTTGAATTTTCCTATGGTCCCATCCGGTCTAAGTTTCTTCTTGAAAATCCACTTACAACTTTTAGGTTTAGAACCCTTAGGCAAGTCACAAAGATCCCAAGTGTGATTGGACATAATAGAATCAAGTTCACTCTTAATAGCCTCTTTCCAAAAACTAGCATCTATGAATCTCATTGCCTCATCATAAGTCTTAGGGTCTTCTTCTAAAAGAAACAAAGACACAATATGCTCACTTAGAGTATCCACGTCAAGTCTTCTACCATAAAAGAAGTCAAGAAATCCGGTTTAAAAGGAGACTCTACTCTAGGTTTCTTACTTCTCCTAGGTTCAAGTTCTACCACTTTGGTAAAGGAATAGGGGAGACTAGAACTAGGCATAGAATCAACAAGAGGCACATTCATACTGGACTTACTAGCATGCATATCAACATTAGAAGACAAGGACTTATTCATTGTAAAAATATGCTAAAAAAATACCACATCTCTAGCTTTACAAATTGATCTATCACTTAATAACATGAACCTATAGGCTGCACTATTATGAGCATATCCAATGAACACAAAATCAAAGTTTTAGACCCAATAGTGGATTTTTTAAAATCTGGAAAAGCCACCTTAGCCAAACACCCCCACACTTTCAAAATTTTAAATTTGGACAATACCCCTTCTAAAAGTTCATAAAGAGTTATCCAACTTCTTATGGGACACTCTATTGAGTATGTAACAAGCGGAAAGAACCGTCTCTCGCCACAAGTTAATTATCGGATAAACCAGAACTAAGAAGCATGACATTCATAATCTCTTTCAAAGATTTAGTTTTCCTTTCGCCAATACCAATTGATTGGGGTGTGTAAGGTGGACTTGTTTCATGTATGATGCCATTGGCCTCACAAAAATCTTTTAAGGAATCTTTACCATACTCACCACCTCTATTGGTTCTAACCCTTTTGATCTTTAGAACCAATTGATTTTCAATTTCGGCTTTTTACTTTAAAAATGTACTTTCGGCTTCATCTTTTGTTTTAAGCAAATAAACTTTGATATAACGAGAAAAGTCATCAACAAAGGTAATGTAATAATTTTTCCCACCCATACTAGTGCATTTTTTAAAGTCTGCTAAATCCGAATGAATCAATTCAAGTAATTTGATACTTCTTGAGACCACTTGCTTAAATGGTTTCTTAGTATGTTTGGCCTCAACACAAATTTGACATTTGTCAAGTTGGTCATCCATTGAAAAATTAAACAAATTCATGTCCTTTAACTTTTTTAAATAAAAAGAATTTAAGTGACCCAAACGGTTGTGCCAAACATCCAAAGACTTAACAATATAAGCAAAAGAAGTAATTCCATTCTCATTCATAACATTCAAAACAAACAAGCCACTATTATGGTAACCTTTCCCAACAAAGTCTCCATTCTTAGTCATTATAATCTTGTTGGCCTCAAAGACAAACTTTAGGCCGGCTTTGTTGAGAAGGGCCCCCGAAACAAGATTTCTCCTAAGAGAAGGTACAAACAACACATTATTTAAAATAAAGTTTTTCCAGAGTTAAGTTTAAGATGGACCTTTCCTTTACCAAGGACACCGGCAGTACTACTATTGCCCATGTAGGCATTATCGCCGTCGGTAACATCTTCAAACCCAGTCATCAAGGCCTTATTAGCACAAAAGTGTCTTGATGCCCCGGTGTCCAAAATCCACTCCACTTTGTTTCTCAATCAAGTTGGCTTCCACCACCACTGCTGCAATGATTTCTTCCTTTTCAACAATATTGGCTTAGGAGGGGTTGTCATCTTTCTTGGTTTCATGCCTTCGGTTGTATTGGTATGCTTTATGTCCAACAATCCCACACACATACACTACTAGAAATAGGCTTATTTCCGAGGGATATCTTCCGACGGAATTTAATTCCCTCGGAAAATTCAAAATTTTCGAGGGAAATTGACTTTGTAGGAAAAATTCGTCGGAAAGGTACCCTACCGACGGAATATTCCGTCGGAATCTTTCCGACGGAATATATTTCCATCGGAATATTTAAGTTTCGACGGAATATTCCCTCGAAGTGGATTCCGACGGAATTAATTCCCTCGGAAATCACAGGTTCCGACGGATATTTTCCGTCGGAACCTGTGATTTCCGAGGGAATTAATTCCGTCGGAAGCTGCGAGAAATAAAAAAAACGCAACCATTCTGACTTCTGTACAGAAGCGAAAACAGAAAAAAAAAAACGAAAGGAAAAGAGAGAAGGAGAAGGCGAACCAGGAAGAGGAAGAAGAAGAGGGAGAAAGAGGAGAAGGGAGAAAGAGGAAGAGGGAGAAAGGGGAAGAGAGAGGAAGCGAAAGAGAGAGAAAGGGAGGAGGAAGAGAAAGGGAGAAGGAGAAAGAGGAAGAGAGAGAAAGGCACGCCGCCGCCGCCGCCACAACGGCCCCCTCTGCTGCCGTCCCGCCGCCGGTAAGGGTTTTGGTATTTTTTTTTTATTTATTTTTTCCTTCAAACCCTAACCACCACCTTTCACCTAGGGTGTACGGGAGTTTTCACCTAGGGCTTAAGTCGCCGGCTAGTCTGCAACAACCACGACCAACCACCGCCGCCGCCACCAGCAGGTAGTTTGTTTGCTTTTCTGTTTTTTTTTTTTTTGTTTTTTTTGTTTTTTTTTTAGTTAAGTATTCAAGCTTAAATCATAAATGTAGTTTATGCTTTTGTTTGGTGTTAATTTTTTGTGTTAAATTTGAATATTTGTAGGTTTTGTGTATTGCATTGTTTATTTGGCAATTACAAATTCAGATCTACAGGTTAGACATTATTTTAAAGCTAAATTTATAAATTTAGTACATACTTGGCATGTTAAATCCTAATGGTGTGTAGACATATGGTAGTTTATTATTGTTTTTAGTTATTGTATTTACAATTTGTTATATTTATATTTCAATTTGTTGAAATATTTGAAATGAATGTGTTTGTGTTATAATATGTTAGATTAGTTTAGTTAATATAAGTATAGTTTTTAATTACTTTATTATAACACGTTACTTTAGTTTGGTATAGTTTAGGGTAATATGTTAGTTTAGTTTAGTTGTATTATAATAGGTTAGTTTAGTTTGGTTTAGTTTAATATAATAATGTATGTTGGCTTAGTCTAGTTTAGATTAATATAATGTATGTTAGCTTACTTTATCATAATATAATGTTGTTTAGTTTTGTTTAATTTATTATAATGTAGGTTGGTTTGGTTTAGTTTAATATGATGTATGTCACATTACATTACATTATATAATTTATTAAAATATCATTATATTGTAGCTTAGTTTAGTTTAATTTATATAATGTATCTTATTTTGGTTTAATATAATGATATTTTAGTGTAGTTTGGTTTTGTTTGATTGGTTTATTTGAATATTATGATATTATGATATGTTAGTTTTCTTTAGATAAATTATGATATATTTGTTAGTTTAATGTAATGCAAGTTAGTTTATATATATATATTATAATAAATGAATCATTTGCATAATCATATGCCTAGATACCCGTTCAAGGCATACACATTAGGAGTATGTCTTGAATAGTCCCCGGTTGGGACTGTCCTTGTACGCTTATTCTCATTTAGGTGGTGAATGTAAGCCTTGTTTTTTATTCTAGGGAAAATCCTGCCTTTTCATGCACTTCTCTACCGTGTTCTCTGGGTACATATGTAGGTGTGTATAATCGCCTACATCGTGTACTTGGAGAACTGTAGGGAAATGCTGGTGGATTTTCCATAGAATTGAAAACCTTGGTTACATTCACTAGTGAGAATAATCGTAAAAGGATGGGTTAGGTTGGAGTGATAAGGACCCTTTGGAAGATTTTCAAATCTCATTTGCATTTCCATAACGCTGTGGTGGATAATGACTGCGAAATACCGTTCATGACTAATGTGATTGTACATATGCGTGAGCTGTGTAGAAGTTGTAATCATGAAACGAAGAGAACATAGCTGGATGTATAAAAGGACGATTGGGCAAAGTATTAACCCAGATTTCGTGAAAGGAGTTGATGAATTCATTCAGTACGTCAGAGATCATCCCGAGAGAAGTAATCCGAATGAGGTTAGGTGTCCATGTGTTAAATGTAAGAACAAACGCCTTTGGAATGCGGATACGGTTAAAATTCATCTGTATGACAAGGGTTTTGTACCTAACTACTATGTGTGGATGTGTCAAGGGGAGGGGTATCCGGGAGTTCCCGAATGGCGGTCCAATGAATATCATGACATGGTTTTGGATGCTTTTGGTCATAGTCAAGATCAGGGGCATTCCGAGGAGGCTAGTGTTTCATCAGAGAAGGAGCCTAATGCAACTGCTAAGCATTTTCTGGATTTGTTGAAGGCTTCTGAAAGGCCATTATACGAAGGGAGTTCTTTGTCTGTGTTAGAGATGGCCGCTAGAATCACTAGTCTCAAATGTGAGTATAATTTGCCTCACAGATGTGTTGATGGGTTTGCTTCTTTGCTAAGTGAGGCGATTCCGAACAACAATCATATGGCCGACACTTTCTACGAGGTGAAGAAGATTGTGAAGGGGTTGGAACTGTCCCATCAAAAAGATTCATGCGTGCCCGAAAGGGTGTATGTTGTTTTGGAAGGATGATGCTCAGTTGTCTGAATGCAAGGTGTGTGGCAGCGACCGATACAAGCAGACTTCCAAAGGTAGCCTAGTGCCTTTGAATGTTCTATTTTATTTCTCGATCACAACCAGGTTGCAAAGACTGTTTGCAACGAAGAACATTTCGGAGGAAATGACATGGAATTCGAAAAATCCTAGAGTTCAAGGCACAATGGCACACCCTAGTGACAGCGCAGCTTGGAAGCACCTCGATTGTTGGTTTCCAGAGTTTGCTTCTGAGCCTCGTAATGTGAGACTTGGCTTGTGTACAGATGGTTTTGCTCCTCATGGTAAGTTTGGGGGTCAATATTCTTGTTGGCCTGTCATTTTGACCCCTTATAACTTGCCTCCCTTAATGTGCATGAAAAGACAATTCATGTTCCTTTCGTTGCTCGTTCCTGGTCCTAAAAACCCTAAGGGCAACTTGGATGTTTACATGCAACCGTTGATAGAGGAGTTGAAACTGTTGTGGGAAGTCGGCGCGGCTACTTATGATATTTCGAAGAAACAGAATTTCAATCTTCGAGCAGCCATCCTATGGACCGTTAGTGTCTTCCCGGCTTATGGCATGTTGTCTGGTTGGGCCACGGCTGGTAAGAAAGCTTGTCCACATTGCATGGAGAAGACCAAAGCATTTTGGCTTGAACATGGGGGTAAAGTTTCTTGGTTTGATTGCCACCGGCAATTCCTGCCGACAGATCACCCTTTTCGGAACAGTAAAACAGCATTCTGTAAAAACAAAGTAGAGAAAGGAGCCCCTCCACACATCATGTCAGGAGAGGAGCTGTGGGAATGTGTTAAGGACCTTCCGAAGGCTACAGATGGACCCGATTCAATTAAAAGGCTGAAAAATGAAAAGAAGGGGTGGTTTAAGCAAAGCACCTTGTGGGAGCTCCCATATTGGAAGCATCTCCTCATTTATCACAACTTAGATGTCATGCACATCGGGAAGAACTTCTTTGATCTGTTAATTCACATTGTAATGGATGTGAAAAAGCTTACGTGTGACACGCCTTCAGCTCGGAATGACATTGCTAAATATTGTAAACGTCCCCAGCTTCATCTTCAAGAGGATGATAGAGGAAAAGAGGTAATGCCAAAGGCTCCATTCGCTCTTGACAAGGCTCAGAGAAAAGTTTTGTGTGAGTAGGTTAAACAGCTGCGGTTCCCTGATGGTTACGCCTCTAATTTGAGCAGATGCGTAGATTTGCAAGCGTGTAAGCTCTATGGAATGAAAAGCCATGATTGTCACGTGTTCATGGAGAGGATGTTGCCCACAGCTTTGAGGGAATTGCTCCCTGTCCATATTTGGAATGCAATTACAGAGATTAGCCAATTCTTCCGCGACTTGTGTTGCTATACAACATCAGTTAGTGACATGGAGCGATTGGAGAAAACATACCTGAGATCCTCTGCAAGCTTGAGAAGATCTTCCCTCCTGCATTCTTTAACTCCATGCAGCATTTGCCTACACATTTGCCGTACGAGGGGAAGTTATGTGGTCCTGTACAATACAGGTGGATGTATCCCTTCGAAAGGTAAATCAAATACCCTTATTTCACATCCTTTATTTTACATCCTAATCAATTGTTCATACAGTTACATAACAACTGTAATTGCAGGTTCCTCAATCATTTGAAACGGAAAATTGGGAACAAGGCTCGAGTTGAAGGGTCCATATGCAATGCTTATCTCACTGAAGAGATAGCAAACTTCTGCTCCAATTACTTTCAGTCGACAGTTGACACTAAAACTCGAGATCTTGGTCGAAATGTGAACGCCGACGTTGAGTCCACATCGGACGACGCTGAAATACCAAAGTTGTTCAAAGAGGACAGTGGTCGTGTGTCAAATGAGGGTAGAACTCGGTTCTTAGATGACAAAGAACTCGAGTGTGCACATTTGTTCGTGTTACGAAACACCGGCATTCTTGGCGAATACGAAAGGTATATTAGGCCCAGGTATTCAGTGTATTCGTATTTACGATCATTTACAATGATGACTTTGTAGATTTACAATGTGTGTTTGGCCTCGTAGGAAGTTTGAGGACTACATTCTAAGTACTCGACCTTTCCTGCGTAGAGAAGATGTCATGGAGAATTTCGAAACTGAATTCTCTGATTGGTTTCATCACAAGGTGATATACGCGGTGTAACCGTGAAATAATAATGAATTTTACATGTTACATTTCAATTCATTGAATTCAGGAACCTTGATGTTGATATTCAACCACTTTATAGGTGGTCGAAGAGAAGCCAAATTCGGATGTCCTGCGAGCGTTGTGCATGCGTCCCTTCAGGCGAGTTCGTACTTGGGGCCAGATTTTTGTAGGTAGATTTAATTTCCATACACATGCCCATGGAAAGCACAAATCCACCATGAATTAGGGTGTGTGTGTATCAAGTGAGAATGGCGGAGAGTACTTCGGCATCTTAGACGACATAATTGAACTTGTCTACACGGGACCCAAGAGACAGTACAAGACAATTTTGTTTAAGTGCAATTGGATGGATTGTGGTAGGGGAATGAACATACACGAACAATACAAGCTAATCGAAGTAAATCATACTAAGAAATACCCCAAATATGATCCATTTGTTTTAGCTTACCAAGTGGCTCAAGTGTACTACGCATCATACCCTAGCCTAAAACGGGACCGAGTTCAATGGTGGTTTGTGTTTAAAACACATGCAAGGTCAGTGGTTGATGCTCCGGTGGACTTAGAGTTTTTGCAATCACCATCCCCAACATTACATGCAACGCTTTGCCCGCCAAGTGACATTCCAGACTACGCCATGGATGATGATGATGAAGGCTTTGTGATCTCATCAAGCGATGAAGATGATGAATCTAGTATCGGCTCTAGTGATAGTGACGATGATGATGAAATCGATGTAGTATTAGATGATAGTAGTGATGACTCTAGTAGTGAAAGTAGTAATGAGAGTACTGAATAGGAGAATATGTTAATCTCCTTTAAAAGTATGCTTCTTATTGTAAAATCAAAATATTAATGAGGCTTATGTAAAACTTTTTAGTGTTTGTATAAAAGCCATATTACGTTGCACTGCACTCCTTATTTATAATATCTTGTCATTTTACTAACATCTGATTCAGGTAGTCATGGCGGGTGGAAAAAGTGGGCAATCGTCAAAGAAAGTAAAGGGGAAAGAGAAACTGACAGCCCGCGCCCTGTTCATCGACGACCAGGATGAGGAGATGTTCGAAACGGAGGTCACCGATTTGGGTGAGGATCAAACGGGCCCATCCACTCCTACAGAAGATGGGCCACGGGATGAGTCGAAGGACGAGCCACAGGATGAGTCACAGCTCCCGTGTTTGGACCCTACTACGCTGTGGTAAGTACATATCATGATATGGATGATGAGATACAAGGCTTATATTACTATTTTCGAACTTGTTTGACATTGTTGTTTCCCGTTTGTTATAGGTTTGATGATCCTAAGGTTCGCAGTGCGGTATCCGGTACGATTACTGGATACTATCGAGCCCCTTGGAGGAACTTCTCCGAAGTTCCTGCAGCTACGAAGGAACACTGGTGGAACTTGTTCAGCGTATGATATTTTTGGGTCTTGGTTAATACATGTTTTAGCTATTGTATTGATTTAGTTTTGTGTATAACTTTTGTATTTTATCATTTGTAGGCACAATTCAGATGGGCACCTCAGATGGACGAGCTAGTGAAGATCACATTTCAGAGGAGGGTAGCCACACGCCTGCGTGACATGTTCCACACCATCACGCACAAGATGAAAGGCGCTAGGCCAAGTTGTTTGAGTGCGGAGCTCCACAAGCAGATGATGGACATTGTTGCTAACGATCCAACTTACAAGGAGAGGTCAGCGCAGAACCAGAAGAACAGAAGGGGCGGTTCTATGGAAAATCCCGTTCGAGGGACCCACTTTCAGGGTTCGTTGGCAGCTACCCAACATGCAAAAAGGATGGTAATTTTATTTAAAAATATCTTATATTACAAGACATATTTGTGTATTTCAATGTAACAAGGGTTTGACATGGTTAACGATTATTCCTATTTTTTTGTATCAAAGGCGGCAAAGAACAAGGGCCAGCTACCAACAGCTCCTGAGCTGGTTCTAAAGACACACTTCAAGGAGCTGCCTGGGAAAGGCACAGTTCCAGTAAACCCCACAGCTCAGGAAATTGCGGTAACAAATTCCCTAAACTTTGTTCCTTGGTTCATTATTCATGAATAGGTGTAGATAAAGAAATAGTTCATTTGGTCAAAAAAGTAGTAAATGGGCAAGGAATAGGTCATATAGGCCATAGTTTAGAGAAAAATATAGTTCATTTGGTCGAAAATGAATAAAATGGGCAAAGAATAGGTCATATAGGCCATATTTGGTTCAATTTGGCTCCAAATGCGTCCCAAAACGTAGGGAGTTGTAGTTTTTTGTGATTTCAAGTCACGAACCCCTTAAAATACCTAAAATATGCATGTTTAGAGAAAAAAATAGTTCATTTGGTTGAAAACATAGAAAATGGGAAAAGAATAGGTTATACAGGCCATAGTTGGTCCATTTTGGCTCAAAATGCGTCCTAAACCTTAGGGAGTTGTAGTTTTTTGTGATTTCAAGGCCTGTACCCCTTAAAATACCTAAAATATGAATGTTTAGAGAAAGAAATAGTTTATTTGGTCGAAAATGAATAAAATGGGCAAAGAATAGGTCATATAGGCCATACTTGGTTCAATTTGGCTCCAAATGCGTCCCATAACGTAGGGACTTGTAGTTTTTTGTGATTTCAAGTCATGAACCCCTTAAAATACCTAAAATATGCTTGTTTTAAGAAAGAAATAGTTCATTTGGTGAAAAACATAGAAAATGGGCAAAGAATAGGTCATACAGGCCATAGTTGGCTCAATTTGGCTCCAAAATGCGTCCCAAACCTTAGGGAGTTGTATTTTTTTGGCATTTCAAGGCATTTACCCCTTAGACTACCTGTAATAGAGATGTTTAGAAAAAAAAATAGTTCATTTGGTCAAAAACATAGAAAATGGGCAAAGAATAGGTCATACAGGCCTTACTTGGTTCATTTTGGCTCCAAAATGCGTCCCAAACCTTAGAGAGTTGTATTTTTTTGGAATTTAAAGGCATGTACCCCTTAGACTACCTGTAATAGAGATGTTTAGAGAAATAAATAGTTCATTTGGTTGAAAACATAGAAAATGGGCAAAGAATAGGTCATACAGGCCATAGTTGGTCCATTTTGGCTCAAAATGCATCCCAAACCTTAGGGACTTGTAGTTTTTTGTGATTACAAGGCTTGTACCCCTTAAAATACCTAAAATATGCATGTTTAGAGAAAGAAATAGTTTATTTGGTCGAAAATGAATAAAATGGGCAAAGAATAGGTCATATAGGCCATACTTGGTTCAATTTGGCTCCAAATGCGTCCCAAAACGTAGGGACTTGTAGTTTTTTGTGATTTCAAGTCATGAACCCCTTACAATACCTAAAATATGCACGTTTAGAGAAAGAAATAGTTCATTTGGTCAAAAACTTAGAAAAAGTGCAAATAATAAGTCATATAGGCCATAGTTGGCTCAATTTGGTTTAGCTTATTTGTATAACTTACTACCTCGTTTGTTCCCTTTTATATGTTTATCTTGTAGGAGGCCTACCAAAAGAGGGTTGAGGCGGCTAGCACTCAAAGGATTCAGAAGAGTCCGAATGAGCTGTACTGGGAGACAGTGGGTGGTCGGAACAAAAAAGGACGTGTGAAGGGACTAGGCGAAAGTGCTGACCTGTACTATGGCAGCCAGATGGGTCGCCGACTTTCCACCTCTTCCATGCTGTACACGCCCTCCTTTGTTTCTCAGATGCAGGATCAGATGGAATCCAGGGTCCAGGCTCTTCGGGAACAAATGGAAGTTGACATGGAAGCCCGAGTTCAAGCCCAAGTTCAAGCCCAAGTACGAGCCCAAATGGAAGAAATGGAGAAGAGGCTGGAAGAAAGGATGATGGGTCGTTACGCCAATGACCTATGTTCCAACGTGCAACCTCCATTTCGAGATCCCAGGGACGACGACCCGGGTTTTGGTGGAGCTGGCCAGGGCTCTCGCGCTGTTGTATAGCATTGATGAACTTAGTGTTTGTTAGTTCTAATTTT